GGACGATCTTTTTGGAAAGGCGACGCGTGTCATCTGGTTAAGAGATACGGATAGACATAGGGGTAGGGTTTAGGTTGGTTGGTTAACATTAAACAGAGTTCAATTTACTTCACAAGGCATACGTTATCTCTTCCGGGTTGGATCTTTGGCCCCCCGTCGAATAAAGAGTCGCGCTACACGTCTACGCGAGTGTCACACCTGGATTGTTTTGGCCAGGTGTGCTCAAGAACTCTCAAGCAACATCAACTGCGATCGGACGCAACAAAACACGTAAAGGCAAGTCGCAAGATTCGCGAGAAGGCTCGCGGATCAAGCTACCACATAGTAAACAAGGCGATCTCGTTGAGATCGGGGTAACTTATATCAGTACCCACGAGTACCCCGTGATCGCGGGAAGATTTCCGCACGATCACAACCCCATCTCCAACACGGTCAAGTTTTCCTTCGACACGAGTCCACCTGGAAGAGTGCAACCCGCCCTACCGACGGGTACACAAGGTGAGGAAGGCAACACACACGGAATCGGAGCACCCCTCCGTTAGTCGGTCGTCCGGGCGCCAGTGGAGAGTTGGGATCGACTCATAAATTGAGCAATCGCCACTCCACCAAACTTACACTGCTGGAGTTTTGGTGCTATCGACTTGGCTGAACTCTGTGTGGCGGGCATTCGTCAGCTTATTGTCAACATTGCCGTCCCCATGTTGCCTTGGTCACACCTGGGCCTTGTCTCGGGTCTACCGCCGGCTATATGGAGTCGCGACTTTAGATGGATAAACATTTACTACCTGTGTAGACCGGGTTTTTATTCCGTCGTCATCAAAACGAACTCTATATGGTATACCTTTTACCACAGCTTCCTAAGGCTGTCGTTTTCTGTTACAATGAGTTTGGTGTTTTGGAGACAACAACTCATCCATTTTGTACTGTTTCATTGTAGCTACGTCTGGACCCCCTAAATCACCAATTTACCCCTCTTTTTTTAAGTGGATATCGGTGCTTCTCTTCCATGTGAAGCCGAACCCGGCTGAGCAACGAGCGTATGGATACAGCCTTTTCGTAATATTTCATATCGTTAGGGCGGTCGTCTTTCGCTGTCTTTGTATCATCGGATTATATACGGTTCGGTGATGCTGCAGCAAACCTTCTCGGGATTCATAATCACATAACGCTGTTGTTTACACTCATACGGAGTGGCTTTCTCAAGACTTGGCAAGCCACAGCCTTCGCCATTCCAGTGAACACTGCGACCACTAAACAATTTGATACCGGCTCTACATCTTTGGCGCTTTCGGCCTTTGTTTAACTTGATGTTAATGCTTTGCCGGATTGACCTAGCTTTGCGGTTTTGAAATGATGTCCCGTGCCATATTGTCGAGATGACGTAACGCACTTAATCATTTGGTTCCTATTCCGGTAATATAAAAACAGTCTTCCTTATCGTCGACCGATTGCTATGGGAGCTTATTCTGGTTGGAGCTGGCTCAGCTTGTTCTGGCATGATCCTTAGGCCATTACTCCTGCGGATTTTGGCCTGGTCTCAGTGTCCGACTGTGAGCTTTGCATTTTCCTATGATTTTGCTTCTCGCCTTTCGCGGTTTGACTTTGGCTTTGGTCATTTCTTTTACGATTTTACATCTTTTGGACCTTATTGATTTACTGTAAGCGCCTGTTTTTGGCCACGGCTTACGCCGATTTAAGTCACTCATTGCGAAGTCATAATGGAGGGACCGGGGTACTTCGTGATGCTATATTCCTAATACCTCCTGTTACTACCGTTACAGTACTACTACCAGCTACCTTCCTAGGAAGGTTTTCATAGCGATCATGCTAGCTAGCTTAGGATACGAACGCTCTTTTTCGTACCAAATTAAAGGATTTACTGCTAAACTACTGCATTCGAAGGTAATTCCCGCAAGCAGTTCCAAAAGTCAGGTTTTTGTGTTGTAAGGGAGTAGAATCCGCGCCATTAACGCTAACTCGTGGCGCCTAAACACTGAACCGAACGGACATATAGATTTCGAGTGCTTCATGCACTTCCTCGGCTCTCCTGATTCGTGGTGTTTGTATCTTCCGTACAATCGTCACTCGGCATTTCCGTCGTCATTCACGCTCCCTTTGATTTCGAGTTTAAATTCGTCACTTTTACTGGGTTCACGTACTCATTTTCTATGACCACTCACTCATTTATATCTCACTCACTATATTCCCTTCGGGTTACCTTGGTGTTTCACTTCTATTTGGCCCTCTCTGCATTAATTCTCGAACTACGGTTGTAAGGTTTATTGTTGTATAATAGTACAGTCTTGCTTGCGATAAAATTTACTCCGATAGTTTATAATCTTTAGTAGGTTATCGATCTCCGCGTCCACGGACCTCGTTCTATGGCCGCTAAGTTATAAGTTAAGGTATGATCAAATAGGGCAATATAACTTTAAAATGAGCACTTGTTTTCGTATTATAGAAGAGAAAAACTACTAGAACCACATGCCAAGGGTGGTTTGGGTGGTGGGGTTTGTTCCGAAGATCAAGCTGGGGGTTGCGAAGGACTTTATAAGCAGCTTGGTGACTTTTCTGGGATACGTCGAGCAGGAAGCAGGTATCACGAAGGAGGTTAGTCCTCTAGGTTATATAAAATGTCTTTGCGACAGGTGCCGCATCTTCACTGTTTTGCTCCTCATTATCTGCCTCCAAAACCTCTCTAGAGTCTCGTTGTCAGTTTTCTCAGGCTGGGCAGTCTCATCCTCTAAGATGGGATCGAGAAGTTTCGAAATCTTTATGGGCCCTCGGACACACAGCTTCTTGAGCTGTGCTATCAGCTCTTACTCCAGCACAATTTCTTCCCCCTTGACCTCCATTGCGCCATCTTTACTCCTTTCCACCTCCACTGCACTTAAAACGACCGATTCGGAATAGAAAAGCCCCGTATGGCTGAAGCAGTTGGCAATAGTAGTGCTTAAAATCTCGTTCCAGGAAGCCACCGACTAGCGCATGGCAGTAAGTTGGTCGACTTTGCAGATGTTAACATCCGTACGCTCGTCACAGTCGATCGAATTCTACAGGTAGTAACGGCGATACCACCGCTTGAACGCTGCGATGACACCAGCATCCATCAGCTGAATCATGAAGATCGTAAGTGGTGGAAGCAGCTGGAACTTGACGCTACTTGACGTAAGGTCATTCGGCAAATGCGATGGTTCGTTGTCAATCGATAGAAGGATGTATCTACTTTTGATCCGAATCATTACAATATTAGAATAACATGCTCTTTTTCAAAAGGCTACGCACCTTCATTGTTTTGTCGAGATTTGCCAGCCATTTCTTGAAGAACACGCCCGCCATCCAATCCTTTGTGCTGTTTCGATATAGAAATCCATGTGCTTGACCTGATTTCTTGTCAAAGCAGCGTGGCTTCTTGGCTTTTTCGATAAAGAAAGGCTGCAGCTTGTCAGAGACATCAGTAGTTGCAGTGATCGCAATTGTTATACGCGACTGAATATGGATGTCAGTTGGATCTGGCATAACCCGTGATCGTATATGGCAACAAGCATTCTGCAATATGCTCACCTTGTATACTTTGTGTCCTTCAGCTCTTGCTGTGCAATAGTCCTGTCAGGTGTAATGCTGTAGTATAGTCCTGCTAATTAATTTGTCAGACTCGGTTTCAATTCGGAATATAACAAACAAAATTTTCGGTTTCATCCATGTTGTAAACATCACACAGCGCGTACTCTGCGATAACCTTCTTTACACCAGGCAGAGCTTTATTCATACCCTCCACGTCCACCGAGCCGCTTTCACCGTAAGTGTTGATAGCGCGGAGCATGTGACGTTGCTGGAATTCATGGAGCCATCCGTGCGAGGAAGTGATGGCGTCGTCGGGAGTACCAAACAATTGAGCAAGCCGATGAGCCTTCGCATAGATGACATCCCCGGTGATAATTACTCCGCGGTGTTGACATTGTAGGAATCAAAGAGGCACAGCTTCTTCCCGTATGTGATGTTGAACCAGTCGCTGTCGCGTTTCATTGAGGCTGCTTGGATCCATATTCTCCAGATTAGACCGCTTTCGAAAGATCTTGCTGATTGATGCCTGTGACAGCGTTTTGACACGGCCTAACTCCACCGTAGCCCATTTATCCAGTGCCGTTTGGGATAAATCTGGGTTTCATCCTTGTGTTTGCATGTTTGCATACGTTGTCCATTGGTAAGACGGATCTGCGACATTTTTCATTGCTCAGATTTCACAATAGCAGGCAAGACAGGGAAATCAATAAATATATGTGGCTTTCCCTGTGTAACAATTGTTAGCTCAGACGAAAGAAGCTATGGGTGCGTCTCATACCGTTGGGAAGATAGCAAACTCGCCAGGAGCCTGATACTTTTGTTCTTTTCCAGCAGTGAAAGCCTAAGGGATGGATTTTGGCTTGTACTTAATGGAAGTTAGGTGTTGGTTTAGGTGCCCAGGTTCGCTAATTTTATCACTCAATTGATTGATTCTCCTTATGTACGATACACAAAAATCAATAAGTTATAACCTCTGCTAAGTTATGGTAATTGTCGTCCGCCGTATCCAAAACTTAACGGAAGGAAGACTGTATAATGAAACTTATTTCCCCCTCCTTTCATTAATATTGTGCATCTCCTGCTTATTTTTGCTCTAAATATGTACACTTCTAGCTAAATGTCAGGGAAGAAGCACTTTGCTAATTATCGATAATGTTCGTGATGAGCAAAATTAATAGCGAAGGGGTCAATCTATTCACTACTTTAATCACAAAATTTATTAAACAATCAGTCATGTTGACCCAGTTTGCCCAAGCAATACCCTTGCGGTCCCGCAAGTCGTTACAAGTCAAATCGTGACATGCGCAATTGTTCTGCCGGTCGAAAACGAATCGGCCAGCTGTTTAGAACATCCTCAATTAGCGCTTTATCTTACGGTACATAGGACCGAGTGTAGCTCACGCGCCCGTCCCATTTGTACGACCAGCGCAGCGAAAATGGACCTCATCGATGCTGCATCGCTACGAACGATCCGCTTCAATTGCAGATCACATACAACGGCACGCGAAATCTCGGATGACTACTCGACACCAGCGTCCATCGTAGAGTCGAAGAAAGTAAAGCGGCAACGTACGGTCCAGACGTCCATTATCAACGTCCGTCTTGTGGAGCTGATTCGCGACATTGACGAGGCCAATGAAGAGAACGACAAACACTACGGCTTGTTTGTGTGGCCCTCAGCGCTGCTATTGTGTCATTTCCTTGCGAGTGAAGCTGGATGGCTCTGTCGCGATAAAGTGGTGTTAGAACTGGGTTGTGGCACCGGCCTTCCGTCCATTCTCGCTGGTTTGTGTGGAGCGCAAAAAGTGTACCTGACAGATCGACCTGACGCAGCTGACATTAGGCGGAACGCAGAAGCCAACATCACTGTCAACAATATTCAGAGCTGCGCCGAGTACATTCCCTTGAGCTGGGGTGACATGCACGTTTCAGATGAGATGCTATCGATCTTCCAAACAGTCCACGTCGTCCTCGCTGCCGACTGTTTCTACCGGTCTGAAGGTTGACCCGCCAACCCTTTGTCTCTCAACTTCACTGTGCAGACCATGATTGACGCATTGTGGTTGTGTTGCTCTGCAGATTTCGAGAAGGTGCTCGCGACCGTGGCCCTGATCATCCGCTGCAGTGGATCAGCCTCGTGCAAGTTCTACTGCACCTACCAACTCCGCAGCATCAAGCGGTCGATCGCTCCTCTGCTTGCTCGTTGGGGCTTTACCGCTACGTGTGTTGATAAGAGCAAGTTTCTAGCAGATGAAGATGGCGGCAATGTCCAAGATCTTGACAGCGTCTATCTCTACGAAATTACAGCTCGCCGGTAGACGAGAGGAAGATGCAAACACAAACAGCATGACTCAGCTTCGCCTTTTATCTCACATCCCTCACAATTCCAGGTTCCGTAGTTTCGATATAGCTCGAAAGAAAATGTACTCCCACGATCTAGAGAGCGTGTGCGTTGACTCTCGCAACAGCCTCTTCAGCCTTTTCAATGGGAGATGATTCACTGTCCCCATTCCCTACTCTTTTTATCAGATCTCCTTCGTACGAGTGCACCGTGATGCTCAATGTTCACCCGCATCGATTTGAGTCAGAGGGGGGAATGGAATGGATGGAACCCTTATGGAACTCGAGAGTACAGTACTTCATCACCGCCATCGTCTTTGTTTCTATCTTGAGTAGAAGCAACAACATTACCAACAATATTACGGAATCTTTGCCAAAGGACGGCTTACGGATACGTACGTGGACGACCGTCCGCCGGTTGTTTTCTGACGTAACAATAGCCTTGTTTTGCAATGGATCGCGGGGTTGAACCCCAACCCATCCGTGACCCATTTGAAACTCAAGACCATCTGTGAAAATGGGTAAAACCCGCTCCAGGTTCGACAAATTACACACGTAGCCACGAACGCTGTCCACCCATTCCAGACGCGCTCCGCACCATGTTCTCTCGAGTAGCTCACGTCGCCGCGTCTTCTGCTTTCCGCCGCTCGCCGTCTCTTGCGCTGCGTGCGTTGCAAACTCGTGAGAAGTCCTCACTCGTCTCTGTGCTCAATGTACGTCGCACAGTATAGTGAAAAGTCATATTGAGAAGAAGAGATCAAAGACTCGTCTCTGAATCGATCAAGGCACTAATTTAGTGCACTGTGTTGTACCGCATGATATAGCGCGAGCTGCAGGAAGAGAAGGCCAATTGCTTCGAAGAGCCAGAGCTCGAGCAGCTTCGTGCACGTGTGGAGAAAGTGTTCACGTTGCAGGAGTCTTCGGGATGTATGGACGTGTTGCTGCAGGGCACTGTGGGCGACGATGCGATCAAGATCAAGTTCAATGCGCAGGACACTGTAGAGCTCGACGAGGACGACGAGGAGGAGGACTATGAGGACGAGGACGGGGACAATGAGGTACAGGTCGAGGAGCCGGAGGACGAAGAAGATGACGAAGAGGAGGACGAGCTGCCGGGTGTCCGCTTTACAGCCGATGTGACGCGCGACAACAAAGGACTGCAGTTTGACTGCGTGGCTGGCAGCAATCTCACGGTAGAACGCGTGCGCTACTTGAGTGACTTTGCCAAGGACGCCGAGGACGAGACGCTGTACTTTGGCCCGGACTTTATCGACCTCGAGCTCGATGTGCAGGACAAGTTCTACGGCTACCTGTCCGAGCGCAAAATCGACGATGAGCTGGCCCAGTTCATCGCGCAGTTTGCTGATCTCAAGGAGCAGCGCGAGTACTTGGCGTTTCTTGAAGACGCTGCGAGCTTTGTCAAACACTGAACATGACAGCCGATGGGATTCATATCATTTGCTCGGAGTACGTGACTGTCTACAAACTAAAAAACGTCAAAAGCTTCACTCGTCACTACTTTTATTCGTTCTGGACTGCCTCTGTCTTCGTACTCCTGCTCGCCTGGCTAGCCTTGCATCCGAGGCATCATATTCTGCACAAGACGTGAGACCTTTGGGTTCGACATGTGACGCATTGCAGCAGATGGGCCCTCGCTGTCCACGTCACGAAAAAAGTCTGCCAGGTCCGGGTCCGATCGCGCCGCCACAAGCTCAGGACTGTTCATCAGGCTGCTCATATCAGGCATGCCGCTTCCCGCTCCAGCGTCCGAAGCAGCAGCTCCACCACCGCCGCCGCCCATAAGATTGCCGAGCATTTCCGGATTTTGCATCATATTCTGCGCCATCTGCATCATTTGCGGGTTCTGCATCATGCTCTGGGCCATCTGCATCATCTGCGGATTGTTCATGAGGTCGGCAAGTCCGCCGCCCCCTCCACCAAGCATACCCGCCAGACTCGACAAGTCAGGCATGCCACCAGCACCTCCAGCTGAAGGCGTCGGTCTGGATGTCGAAGCTACAGGGGTTGTCTGCATTTGCCGACGTTCGCTCTCAGCATGCGCAAGTCCGTCACGGCAAGCCGCATTGGTGCTGTCGACCTCCAATCCACGTCTAAACGTGTCGACTGCGCCATCAAAGTCCTTAAGCTGTACCTGTGCGCTACCCATACGCGAGTAGGCCTTCACGTACGACGGCTTTAGCGAAATCGACTGCTCACAGTGGTCAATCACCTCCGTGTACTGACCCAAGTACATCAAGGCCGCTGCCAAGTTCGAATGGTAAATATGAGACGACGGTCCATCTGATGAAAGCTGTAGCGCTGCGCGATAGAACTTCGCAGCTCCCTCGTAATCCTGCAGACCCAGTGCTGCATTGCCCTGCGCCTTCGCCTCCTCTGCTTTCGCTTCCTTTTCTTCGGTTGTCATCTCTGGCGCCACGCCCCCAAACTTCTCCTTAAACTTAGCCATCGCCTTGGACGTGCGGGCAACGTACTCACTTGTGCCAGGAGTTGCGTTGTTGAAAAACCCCTTGGTCTCCAACTTGGCTACCCATTTCTTCCATAGCTCGGGGTCTACAGTGACATTGCACGGAAATGCCCAGCCCATCAGTCCTCTCATCTTTCCACTGTCAACAATATACTCTACTACACTCACGCTTCTTGAAAACGGGATCATCGTCCACCTCCGACTTGATCTCATTACCTAAACCCGTCTCCAGGTTCAGCGCCTTGAGACCAGCGGCAAATATCTCATCAAATGAGACACTTCCCTTTATTGCCAGTCGCTGCTGCTGCTCGACGTCCTGCACGTCCAGGCCAAAGGCCTCGCTAAACCACAACAACAAGACAAAGCAGTATGGAAAAGCAACAACAACGTCAAGTCGGTTCGTTTCGTCTTCGATAGCACAGTCATAACACACACAAAAAGCGTTGCACATACGTCATACGGGTGAGAGCAGCATCAACGGCCTCCACGTTCGCGACATTTTCGTGGGTCTTGAGCGAATCAATCCACACCAGCGCGTTAAACAACGCCGTTCTGCTCCTCTCGTCCATTTCGATCGTGGATTTCTCCCTCGGCCAGAGAGCTACTTTGGACAACGTCGTCTGATTGGTTGAGAATACACCAACGCAAAACACGTGAAGTATCGGCACTAGTTGGCAAAGTACTACAAAGAGATAATTTCAGCACAAAATCCCTCCGTACAAATGGTCACGTCGAAGTTACAATCTCGAAACAATTGTCGAGCTTGGCGTTTACCAAGCTCGGTCAACCGCGGCTACGATTTACCTCCAGCCACAGCGACAACAAGCCACCTCCCTGCACAAATGAAGATTTTGTGCATCACATAGTTTTTGGCATAACAGGGTGCGGCTTATACACATCTACCAATTAATGCTTGTGAGTCTAAAAAGGCGAAGCTAGTAATGCGCGTGCGCTAGACGCTCGACATAACTTCTTATTAGAACGTAGGCGCACTTGCGCTGTAGAAGTAGGAAGTAAAAGTAAAATGTATTGAGTGTTACGAACTATCTCCTTCAACACTACGATATGTATGACCAGAAACGGCAACTGCAACTTGACCATGTCAAGTCACACATGGTGTCCGTCTCTTCCTGTCACATGGCTTCCGTCTCTCACAGTCCCATCTGTCCGCACGTCCCATTTGGCCGATCGCCCCGTCGTGGTCCCACATGTCACGTCGCACGGTAATCAGCCAATCAGGTGACACCGTCCCATGGTATAGCACTTGACCCTTGAAACCTGTCAAACACGATAGTTTCTAACACTTCTCCTCGGTGTTAGACTGTGTGGCCTTCAACTTGAGCATGGACCTCAACTCTTCCATCCTAGGCGCTGGCAAAGACTTCGTCAGTATGTCTGCTAGCATATCATCAGATCGCACAAACCTTGGCACCACAGTTCCTTTCTGTGCGTGATGGCATATAAATTTGTAACGTATGTCCACGTGCTTGGCGCTCGAGGTGCTCTTCTCTGACTAGAGTTTCTTGATTGCCGCTTTGTTGTCTATTCACATCCGCATGGGCTCACGTACGCGAAGCTTCAACTCACTCAGTAGTTCTTTCATGCCAAGCAGCTCCCGACCAGCTTGCGACGCTGAGATAAAATCAGCCTCCATCGTGCTCAGCGATACACCCGATTGCTTCTTGCACAGCCACATAACCACTGCACCATCCACAGTTAGCACACACCTGATATCGACTTACGGTCGGCCTTGATCGCAGCGAAATCGGCGTCGCTCCAGCATTCGACCCGCACATCCTCTGACACATGCCCATCACCATCCAGGTGCAGCTTCAAATCCTTGGACATCTTCAGGTATCGCATGATGCGCTTCGCGGTCTTCCAATCCTTGAGTGTCGGCTTGTGAGTCTTCTCGTTGCCTTGTGCACTGCAAAACCAATGTATGGGTGTGTGCATCTTGCGACCGATAGCAAGCTTCCCACCAGTGACAGAAAGGACTTCACAGTGGGGTCCTTCTTCGTTCCTCTTGCTGGTAGGTACTCAGCGTCCTCTTCGTCATCCATGTTGCAGTCGTCTCCAATTGGGGTGCGAACCCCATTGGATGACTCCATCTTGAAATCCCTCAACAGCAAGTCGATAGTCGGTTCTTGATCCAGAACATAGTTGTTCGAGTCGTCGAGCTAAATTCGTATCCCAAGGATCTTGTTTACAATCCCCAAATCCTTGATCGAAAGTGAGGTCATGTCTTTAAAGAAGTCGTCTACAGCGCTCTGTTCGGTGCCCGTGACCAACAGATCGTTCACGTAGACACCGACCACTGTGCATGTCTTTCCCTTGTACTTGAAGTATAGGCACATGTCCGTGGTACGTTGCTAGTACCCGCTTTGTCGTAGCTTGGAGTCGAGTAATTGCTCCACAGCCGCCCAGACTGTTTGAGTCCATAAAACGACTTCTCCAACAGCAACGCTAGGTCATTTGGGGTCTTCGCGTTCAGGGCCTTCATCTCTTTCTCCTTCAATGTCATCCCCTTCGGCACATTCATGAAAATATCCAGGTGCTCCTTCTTTTCAGCCCTGACGTACGCATTAGGTACATCACCGTGGCGCGCTGGTACCTTTCAGCGTCTCGAAAGCACCAGGATCAGCTTTACCGTCCCCAAGTCCATGACCGCTGCGAACGTGAGGGTATAGTTCACTCCGAACACTTGTTTGTTTCCGTGAACGACCAAATGAGCCTTGTACGTCTCGATGTCCTTGTTTGCGTCGGTCTTTGTCTTGAAGACCCATTTGTTTTGTAGAACATGTGCATTTCCCGTGGAAAAACGATCTCCCAGTTGTCATTTGCCTTGAGTGCGTCCAGTTCTTCAGTCATGGCCACGTGCCATTGGTTGCTATGCCTACTCTTCATCGCCTCACCGTAGTGATTCGGATCTTGCTCGATGTCTGCATTCATCACGTCACAACTGTCAATTGAGGCACCGGCTTCGGCCATTTTTGTTTGACTCAACTTTGTGAACCTTGTGCCATGGCTTACCCTGGTCCATGTCTGCTTTCGACCCTTTCGAACCTTCTTCCCGCCCTTCACACCATCTCTACGATCTCTTGCACCCGCTTGACGATCATGTACTGGCTCCTCCTGACGTTGTATCGGGTCAGGATAAGTCTTTCTTTCATCTTGGTCATCATGTGGTGCTTCAACGCTTTGAACGTGTTGGGTCACCACGATCACCTTATCCACTGGGATGTATACTATGTATCCCTTCGTTTCGCTACCTTGCCCAATGATAATGCCCGCCTTCCCTCGCTCACAGAGTGATTTGTTTGTCGGGTCTCTGTGCACGGTGCATGTTGACTCAAAAACCACGATGTCTGTCGGCATGGGAGCCTTGTTTGTCAGAATCTCCATGGGCGATGCACCTCCAGGGTTGGACTTGGTCTTGCTTCGGTTCAGTGTGTACGAAGCGTACTCTGCAGCATCACCATAAACGTGAGCGGTATTTTTAATGCAAAGACCATGCTCCGCACCATGTTCATGATGGTGCGGTGCATCCGTTCAGCCTTGCCGTTGCTCGCTTGGTTTCTCGCCTCACTTACTTGACGCGAGATGACTTCCAACAAGCAGAAAATATCAAGCTTCTTATATTCGCCACCGTCATCGTTGCGTAAGACATGAATCTTGCAATTGGACTCGCTCTCGAAGCTTTCCAAGAATAATTTGAGCTTCAAGGCGGCTGCATCTTTCGTTTTGGCCAAGAACACTCGACAATAACTTGATCGGTGGTGAATGAATATGACCATATACCGATTTCCCAAACGATCTCGGGGGGTCATGGGACCCTTGAGATCCGAACAAATGACACCCCGATCACGTAGATAGGCGAATTCATGCCCGTGTATTTCTTCGACTAAATTTCCTTGGTCTGCTTTACCTTGGCACAGGCCAGATACTTTTGACGTATCGAATCCGTCAATTGTATACCTGATGTCGGGTCTTTGGCCATCTATATTCGTTTCGAATCAAAGATGTACTAGGCGCCGATGAAAGTCCATCGAGGTACCACACTGATCGTCCGAGACGGATTTATGTTCAGGTGAATTAATGACAGTCATCATTGTCTCTCGTGGTGGCTTGGGATTACGATCGCTGCGATTCGTCACAGCGACAGCCAAAACGTTGTTGCAACATTCCACATCCATGCTAGGCGTCCTACCCATTTCAGATGACAATACACGTCTCCCTCCTCGATATTCTAGCACGCAACATTTGGCTTCAAGCAATCCGTACGTAAGGATTTTACGCTCGAGGTTCTCCGCGCACTGAACATAAAGGAGTCTCACTGTGTTCACGACTCCCAGTGCAACTAGTTGGATGTCCGCAGTTTCTTGCAGGGTGATCCGCAGTACACTGCCATCTGTACCGGCCGTCTTGCACTCACTAAGACAATCTATCGGGTCGGTGAGCAGACTCGGATCATTGACCAAGTGTCGGCTCGAACCACTGTCGAGAATCCATTGACTAGGCGAACGAATCGAACCATGGCCAACTGTGAAAACAAAGTTCGCACCCTAGGACTTCTTCCTCAATTTCGGGCACCGCGACCGAATATGTCCCACTTCTCCACATCTGAAGCAAGTCCGGAAATCGGTCCGTGGGGGAGATGATCTTGGTTTGGGATTGTCCTTTAACTCCTTCTCAGGCTCGACAGCGTTGACCACATCGTGCCCGCAATTTTTCGATTGAGTGTCTACCTCCGTCGATTGAGCAAATTGCGCCAACTCTTCTGCTTGCCGCAGGTTGTAGGTGCGATGAATCTACAATCTGGACACGATCGTCATTCGCATGTGTGGGTCGGCATAGTGAAGGAAGTTGTTGAGCACAAGACTGTCTGCACCCCCACTGGCATGACGGCCGTCAAGTGTAGAAAATGGTCCGTCCAGTTTCGATGAGATGCCTTGGGTGCCGTGAACAACTTCATGCTCTGTGCCGGTGAGATCTTCGTCGTGAAGGTATGCAACATTCTCTGCATCGCGTGCTCGAGGGTTTGACTCTCAAACCGCCATGTTTCCACCTGACGACGATAGTAGGTATGCGCTTTTCCAGCTAGGTGCTGGACAAGGATATCAACCTTGATGTCCTCCGGACACACAAAGCCACATGCACGTTCTGCAAATCCGACTTGTCGAACAAATTCCTTTCCCCACTCCATGAATCCACAGTTAAGGTCGTGGTAGAGCTCCTTTCCATCGAAAGATTGCAACGCAAGTTTCCTTTGCTGTGCGTCTGGCATGTCGATTCTCGGATGCCCTGGGTGCACATATCCTCGGTTGGGGATACCCAAGCCATGGTGATATCCCGCAGGCAAACCCGCCCGGTATACACCGGGGTCGGGTGTCTAACCCATGTTGACTGCCGGACCTGCATATTCTTCAGGTGGTATTTCAACACCTGCCCGTTGTTGTCGCCGAACGCCGAAGTAGGTAGCCGGCGACACATTCGAAGTTTTCTTAGGAGGGTATGCTTCAGGGTCCGGAGTTTCAATCCTGCCTCGACCTCCCTCTAGCGACTGATG